AAGAGGCAAATTGCATGGGATGAAGAAAAAGTAACTCCTCCCTGTTTTTGCCAAGATGCCTGCTATACTGGGCTTCCCCAGTTAGGGTATATGATCTTACTTCTCTGCTCAATGTGCTATAGTTGCTATTTCCTTATTATCTTTCTAGAGTTGGGAGAATATGATTAATTAAACCTAATGACCATGAGTTTTCAGAGTGGTTCCACAGGAGCTTAGTGAACCTGCATTACAGGTAGAAAGTCAAGGAACAGCTATGAGGAAGATAATAGGGATGAATCTTTTTCGTTATCTCTTACCCCACCTCTCTCAACACCATTAATCCCCTTAATCTTCATAGTTAAGAAGAGAGTTGGATTTTCCTTCAATCCACTAGAAATGAGAACAGAGAACAATTGCTCCCTCCTACTACATCTGCCAACCCAAGGATTTCTGTACTGAGAAAAAGAAATAAGAAACAGGGTCAGGGCCAGTGGCTCATGCCTATAATCTCAGCACTTTGGGAGGCTGAGGTAGGAGGATCGCTTGAGCTCAGGAGTTCAAGATTAGGCTGGGCAACATGGTGAAACCCTGTCTTCACAGCAAATAGAAAAAATCAGCCAGGCATGGTGCCCCTGCCTCTAGTATCAGCTACTTACGGAGCTGAGGCAGGAAGATTGCTTGAGCCTGGGAGGTCAAGGCTGCAGTGAGCCAAGATTGTGCCACTGCACTCCAGCCTGGGTGAAAGAGCGAGAACCTGTCTCAAAATAAATAAATAAATAAAATAAGAAACAGCTGCATTAGAGCATTACTCTCTTCAAAAGCCTCCTTTCTCATCTCTGAGGCATTCTCTCTAACGAAAGGAAAAGTATATGTAAGACATAGTTAAAAAACAAAAAACAAAACAAAACCCAGAAGATCATTACCTTATTCTTTTACAGCCAAGCACTGTAGTTTGGGATCTTTAAAAAGTAAAAAAAATAAAAAAATAAATTAGTCTGGCTGGGCGCAGTGGCTCATGCCTATAATCCCGGCCACTTCGGGAGGCTGAGCAGGGAGGATTATGAGGTCAGGAGTTTGAGACTAGACTGGCCAACATGGTGAAATCCTGTCTCTATTAAAAAATACAACAATTAGCTGGGTGTGATGGCACACACCTGTAATCCTAGCTACTCAGGAGGCTGAGTTAGGAGAATTGCTTGAACCAGGGAGGCAGAGGTTGCAATGAGCTGAGATCCCGCCACTGCACTCCAGCCTGGGCGACAGAGCAAGACTCCAGCTCAGAAAATACATACATAAATAAATAATAAATTAGTCCAATTTTTGTTTAAATACGCATTCTGTGATCTGATTAATACTATAGAAGATATTTTTCAGTGTGCTATGAAGAAAGTTCAATTCAGCTTTTCTTCTATATAATTTTTATCATGGGGGATGAGATAGAGAAACTTTTAAAATTTCCTACAAATATTTTCAGGGCTGGTCAACCGAATACATAACCAAAAAACTATTAAAGTTTATTTACTTCACTAAAACAGAAGTCTCATTATCTCCTAAACTTCCTATTCTGTTATCTCCCACGCTAATAGTTTTTTCCCCTGAATCAACAGGACAGTTGAATAAAGGGATTTCTTACTGAATACATTTCTAAGATAAAATATTATTGTGAACATATTTTTACCATGTTCTTCAAGTACATCTTAAAATACTGGATATCCTATTTTTTACATCATTCAGATATACAATTTTGGAAAGCCAAAATAATTGAAAAATTATTTTCCTTTCTAAGTGGCTTTGAAAATAAGATGTTTATCCTTCAATAATCACTACTTATGAAAAATATAAAATTTTGACAACGTGCATCTGAAAAATTTCAACATTTAGCTGCAGTTTAGTTGGAAAGAAGTCAATATTGCAAGTATACCATACTACTTCCAGCAAAAAATTGTAGATAACATTTGAGCAGTTTCTAGTGCCAGGGACTTTATTTGATCTTCGTACTCACTCTATGAAGTAGGGAATTTATTTTAACAATAAGGACACTGAGGCTTTAAAGAGGCTAATTTATCCAGATTAATAGGCAGACAGAGGCAGAGACAGAATTCACACCCAGGTTACACTGACTGCAAAGTCAGAAAGGCTGAGTTGTAATTTCATCTCCTATATGGAGAATATAAAATATCTGGAAGGATGTTAACAAAAATAATAACCTTTGTTACTTCTAGGTAGAGTCTCTAGTGATTTTTTTTTTTTTTCTTTTTTTTGAGACAGAGTCTCGCTCTGTCACCAGGCTGCAGTACAGTGCCACAATCTTGGTCACTGCAACCTCCAACTCCCTGATTCAAGCGATCACCACGTCCAGCCTCTAGTGATTTTTTTTTTTTCTTTTTTACTTTCCTTTTCATCCTTTTACACACTATTTGCATTTCTTATAATGAGTAAAAATATTTTTTTTTTCTGAAAAACCAAGGAAATTAAGCTCTAGGAAAAAAAAAAAATCAAAACAAACAAACATACAAAAACCAGTTACTCTGGGGCCAGGTGGGGTGGCACAGGCCTGTAATCCCAGCACTTTGGGAGGCCAAGACGGGCAATCGCCTGAGGTCAGAAGTTTGAGACCTGCCTGGCCAACATGGCGACACCGTGTCTCTACTAAAAATGCAAAAATTAGCTGGCAGTGGTGGCAGGTGCCTGTCATCCCAGCTGCTCAGGAGGCTGAGGCAGGAGAATCACTTGAATCTGGGAGGCTGAGGTTGCAGTGAGCCGACATCATGCCATTGCACTCCAGCCTGGGCGACAAGAGCAAGACTTCATCTCAAAAAAACAAACAAAGACCAGTTACTCTGTACTTGAGTTTTGAGGTCCTCAAAATAGTGTTCCCCATGTTCAAGTGGGAGTAAAGGATATTAAAAGTAGGAGGAGGCTGGGCGCAGTGGCTCACACCTATAATCTCAGCACTTTGGGAGGCCGAGGCAGGTGGATCACCTGAGGTCAGGAGTTTGAGACCAGCCTGACCAACAGGGAGAAACTCCATCGCTACTAAAAATACAAAATTAGCTGGACGTGCTGGCATATGCCTGTAATCCCAGCTACTCAGAAGGCTGAGGCAGGAGAATCTCTTGAACCCAGCAGGCAGAGGTTGCAGTGAGCTGAGAGCACGCCACTGCACTCCAGCCTGGGCAACAAGAGCGAAGCTCTGTCTCAAAAAAAAAAAAAAAAAGGAAGAGGAAAAGCAAGATAGTATAAAGGGAAGTGCTTCTGAACAGACTCATACAGAAGCCACAAGGTAGGTCCTCTAGCCTACCATCCTTCTCTTAAAGCTCAATCCACCTAAATGTTTATCTCTTTTGACCCAAAGACTCTCACTATGAATTTACCTTAAGGAAAAGCTATGTGCAAGAACTCATCCATGGCAGCATTACCTTTAATGGAGGAAAAATTGGAAACAACCTAAGAGTCTAAAGTCAAGGCCTAGCAGTAAATTACAAAGATCTGATAGAAGCATGGATAATGCTTATCATAGGAGAATTAGACAAAGAATATACCATCACAATCTTTTATTTTTTAGTTACGTTTTTGTTCTTATAATTTTCTCCACTTTTTAAAGTCAAAACATTTTAAAAATATTTTCCTTAGAATGCAAGTATCAGCTGGGCGCAGTGGCTCGCGCCTATAATACCAGCACTTTGGGAGGCCGAGGCAGGCAGATCACTAGAGGTTAGGAGTCTGAGAACAGCCTGGCCAACATGGTGAAATCCTGTCTCTATTAAAAATACAAAAACCAGCTGGGCGAGGTGACAGGCGCCTGTAATTCCAGCTACTCAGAAGGCTGAGGTAAAATAATCATTTGAACCTAGGAGGCGGAAGTTTCAGTGAGTCAAGATTGTGCCACTGCACTCCACTGTCTCAAAAAAACAAAAACAAACAAAAAAAACCCCAAAAAACTAGCTTTCCCTAAAATCCCTTCTTTTCTTCATAACCTATTGACTACTTTCTTTTCACTGGAAAATGAGGAAAGCAGAAGAAAATCATGAGTGTGACAAGAAAATGATGAAAGAGATTTCTGGTGTGGCTTGAAGAAATGAGCATCAGGTGTTCACAGTCATTCACACTATAATATGGGCCTAGAGATAACCGGAGGGGAGTGAATTCCTCACAATTTTGAAAGACGTAACGGTTCATACAAGATGGACATCCCCATGGATGAAAACTCTTCACAAAAAAAAAAAAAAGAAAACTCTTCATAGTTTTCAGAAATTTAGATCTTAACCCAAGTATAGTGGATATTTAAAATACTGTAATTACAGTATTTTAAAATATCGTAAAGTCTCTAAAAAGTCCTATAACCCATAAAAAGAACTATCTGTAATTATGAATTAAACACCAACATCTATCCTGAATTTACATAGGCTCTAAAAACAGGAAGTCCTAATACTGCTAACTTTGAGACCTTCTGCCTTATATTTAATCCAAAACATTTATATACTTTAAGATATTTTCTTGTGTTTTGGCCTCAGAGAATGCAAAGGGTCACTGGCTGCCCATAAGCCTGTGTAGTGATACTTTCTATACTAGGAAGGTGATTATGCTTTAATAAAATAGAAGTTCTTTATATGCAGTTTTCTGAAGCAATCTTTGGAGATTGGTTTACTAACTCTCACAGTTCCTTGCAGTATATATATATGGACTTAAATGAATTATCTAAGTTCAGCTGAGGATTCCAAATACACAAAGCCCAGAAAACCTGGCTGCTGGTCTCATGCTATTAACTCATAATGTGACTGATCTCAGCTACCCAATTCATGCTCCTGCCAGACATGACTGATAATAACAATCCACCTTGATTATTATAGGTAGTTGAACCCAGGTTTAAAAGAAATCAACTTTAAATACATTCCACAATGCTTTACAGAAGCAAAACAAAAACAAGCAAACAAAAAACAAACCAGAAAAACCAAAATTATTAAAAAGCTGATTTTTGCTTAAAACACCAAGCAAGAAATGGACATATGAATATTCCTAACCTGCAAAATGATTCCTCCACATTATATCAGCGAAACTCATTGGTGGGCCACTGGGAGGGTAGTGTTTACCTTTCAGAGGCTCATGATCAGTCCTTATCATATCCATTAAGGAGTTCTCCAACGAGTGCAAGTTAAAAGTATCATAGGGCCTACTCCGGTCCTAAAAATAAAAACAAAAACAAGACAATACATAAAATTACTTCATAAAATTAACACTATATCATTTGCTTCCTGCTGTGGAATGATGACATGAATGAAAGTTACAGAGAGCCCTAATAGCATACAGTCCTTCTTTTTGTTTATTTATTTATTTACTTTGTAGAGATGGGGTCGTGCTATGTTTCCCAGGCTGGTCTCGAATGTCTAGGCTCAAGCAATCCTCTTGCCGTGGCCTCCCAAAGTGCTGGGATTACAGACACGAGCTACTGCGCTGATCCTGCTCTCTTCATTAAGAATAATGACTTGTCACACCTGTAACCCCAGCATTTTGGGAGGCCAAGGTGGGCAGATCACTTGAGGTCAGGAGTTCGAGACCAGCCTGGCCAACCGGGTGGAACCTCGCCTCTACTAAAAATGCAAAAAGTAGCCAGGTGTGGTGGTGCGCACCTGTAATCCCAGCTACTTGGGGGGCTTGAGGCAGGAGAATCACTTGAACCTGGAAGGCAGAGGTTGCAGTGAGCCGAGATCATACCACTACACTCCAGCCTGGATGACAGAGCAAGACTCCATCTCAAAAAAAAAGGAATAATGATTTGGCAACATTAAGTTTAATATAAGTCTCCATAACTAATTAAATTGCATCATCTCCCCTAATATTCTATAACGTAATGTAGTTCAGAGTGACTTTCTTGCAAATGAACTAAAATAGTAAATTTAAAAGGAAGAGTCAAGTTAATTGGTTTTGCTTTCTACCCTCCACCCAATAACTTCATTGTCAAATGAACACAGATGTTTCCCCCCTAGAGGAAGACCGTAATTTTTTTTTTTGTTTTGTTTAAGACAAGGTCTTGCTTTGTTGCCCAGGTTGAAGTACAGTGGTGCAATCATGGCTCACTTCAGCCCTGACCTCCTGAGCTCAAGTGATCCTCCCACCTCAGGCTCCCTAGTAGCTAGGACACATGTCGCCATGCCCAGCTAAAATTTTTTTTTTTTTTTTTAGAGATGGGGTCTCACTATGTTGCCCAGGCTGGTCTAGAATTCCTGATTGCAAATGATAAAGACCACAATAATTAAGAACTCAGATGGAATCATTTTCCTGAAAAACTAAAGGGCGACTATAATTTCAATGAAAATGTATTGGATATCTTTAACATTTCTGACCAGTAAGTTACATATATGGATACACTTTTTAAAAATAAAAATGTGGCTGGGCGCAGTGGCTCACGCCTGTAATCCCAGCACTTTGGGAGGCCAAGGCAGGCAGATCACGAGGTCAAGAGATTGAGACCATCCTAGCCAACATGGTGAAACCCTGTCTCTACTAAAAATACAAAAATTAGCTAGGCGTGGTGGTACGTGGACATGCCTATAATCCCAGCTATTCGGGAAGCTGAGGCAGCAAATTGCTTGAACCCAGGAGGCGGAGGTTGCAGTGAGCCAAGATCACGCCACTGCACTCCAGCCTGGCGACATAGCTAGATTCCATCTCAAAAAGTAAAACTAAAAAATAAAAATAAAAATGTGTTTAAAGTTGTATTCATGAAGATAATGGCAAAAAGAAAAAAAAAATTTAATGTGTCCAAAGTACTAAAATTATCTTTTGAAAAGCACTCACATGAAGAAACTTTAACCCAAAGAAGTATTTTCAAGATGTTACATTCAAAAACATTTTGAAACTAGAAATCTAACACAAACTAAAGAAAAAAGTGTTATTTCACCACATTTCACTCACGCCTTCAAGAGACTATCACCTACAAACTCTTCTTAGTACTCTGAGCCTCAAGAGAAGCATAGCTCATGTTCTAAGTTAATACTAAAGAACAGATCAAGTTTGCTTTGGTTAAGAAAAGCAAGACAAGCATACATCTCAACAACCAAACCAAGTCAACCTACAGTGATGAGAGATTATTTTCAGGGTCTTGAACAGTCTTTTCCAGCTTTGCATTTGATCATTTATCCTCTTCTATGGATAACACTCACCCATTACCTATCTCTCCCCTTGGATAGGAAAGAGACAAGGAATATTTTCTTTGGTTCTCTACTTTGGTCTCTATACAATCTAAAAAGGTCTTTTCTTTTAGATTTAAAGTCTTCCTGCAGATCATTTGTTTTGCTCCGGGTTCAAGTTACTAGTGGAAACTCTAAGGAGTAAAGCTGAATTTCCAGAAACGCAGGCTTATCTGTACCCATAAGAGCGTCTATCATATACTTTGTCCAAAGAAAAAGCCAGAGGTAAAGAAGCATACTGATGAGGAGGCAAAATGATAACCTATTTCTGGCACTAACAATCCCAAAATGAATTATCTAGGAGCCCTCTATCACATCCACACTTCTAACTAGAACTCTGAAGACATGAGAGTGTTTCAGAATAGACTGACATGGTAAGGGAACTATAAGAAAAGGCTATTTGAAGGCATTCGAGAATCTTTCCAGACAGGACAGTTTATTTTTTCATTTAATTACTGATAATCCCTCAAGGTAGATAACAACATACCCATTTTACACATGAAGAAGGCAAGGTTCAGAGAAGATACAAGAGCCCTCAATGCCAAAACCTAAGGAGTATAAAAATCTGGCCAAAGAAATTAATTAAATCCATGGTTACTTCTATAGAAAAACTGCACTGTAACTAACTGCACATTCCTGCCAATGTAACAGTGAGTTCCTATCACAAATGGATATCAGACATTAGATGACTACCTGTCAGGAAAATTAAAAGAGGATTTTGGAAGGAGGGATTCATGTAACTAAACTGAAATGGTTCCCAAACCTGTCAGACTGTCAAAAATCACATGTAGAGCCGATTAAAACACAGATTCCTGGGCTCCAGCTCAAACCTACTTAATCATAATTTAAAACAAAATAAATTCTATGACTGGCTAGAGCCACTAAACTGGATGATTCTTCAAGTTAAGCCTTTACACCCATGATTCTGTTCAGTAAAATCAGACAGTAAAGTGAGGGCAGGGACCAGTGTGAGCAGCAGGCAATAAACAAGCCTGGCCACCTTGTAGAGAGTCAGTTTTGCAGTCTTCTGATTTACTGTGTATTAGAGAAGCAGTTGGTGGCCTAGTTTTTAAAAGCACAAATTTTAAAATCAAAATCCAATTTTCAAATTTTGGCTCTCCCACTTACTGGCATGTCACTTTGAGTATGTTTCTAAGCCTTGATCTATAAAATGGGATAATTTTTCGGGTGCGGTGGCTCATGCCTGTAATCCCAGCACTTCAGGAGGTCAGGGCAGGCAGATCATGAGGTCAGGAGATCGAGACCATCCTGGCTAACATGATGAAACCCCATCTCTACTAAAAATACAAAAAATCAGCCAGGCATGGTGGCATTTGCCTGTAGTCCCAGCTACTTGGGAGGCTGAGGCACAAGAATCGCTTCAACTGGGGAGGCGGAGGTTGCAGTGAGCCGAGCTCATGCCACTGCACTCAGCCTGGGCAACAGAGCAAGACTCTGTCTCAAAAAAACAAAACAAAACGAAAAATGTAGCCAGGTGTGGTGGCAGGTGCCTGTAATCCCAGCTACTTGGGAGGTTGAGGCAGGAGAATCACTCAAACCCAGGAGGTGGAGGTTGCAGTGAGCCTAGATTGCGCCACTGCACTCCAGCCTGGGCAACAGAGTGAGACCCCATCTCCAAAAAGAAAGGGGGAGGGATAATTCTCTCTTCACGGTTTCTTCAGTACTAAATAACAGAACATACAGGCATCTGCACCATGGTGGCTACCATAATATTAGGGAGAGCACAAAAAGATTTCTGTGATGCCATCTCAAGAGTACTGAAAAATGAATTTTTAAACCTAGCAGTTCACAGATACTAACCTAACAGGGTTCACTAATGCTCAACAGATGAAAACATATGACATGTGAAAGGCATGACAGAATTTACACAGGCTTAATTAAACTAACTTCAGGCCTCTGAGAGTTCTCATTAAAATTAATTCCATCCATGCCTCATCAACTTATATTTGCCGCATACCATTCATCCTTTTTGTTTTAGAAGTAATAAACGTTGCTGAAATAAGTGATTAACCAGGAAGTCTGCAAGAAACAGAACAAAAAGGATAGAAAAAACAGAAAAATCTACAGTGGAATTCATCAACAGAAATTATGTATACAGAAAACTCAGCCACAATTTATCATTCAATGACAAAGGTTACAAGTGGTAACTAACCTGTTAGGTCTTTTTTCATAAGTTTTGTTTCCCAATATAGAGAAACAGGAAAACATCATTATTTGTTTTTAACAAGCAAACACACCAAGAAGTATTAGAACATCTATAAATAATGCAGCCCATTATTGACTTTCTTTGCAGATAATCAGTGAAGACGTTGTCAGTTAGTTGTACACAAAACAGCTCACCTCCACTGCATTAGTCCTCTCTTTCTTCCCTCAGCTGGATTTAATATTAATAAATTTATCAAGCATTTAATATGTGCCTGTCACTGTTCTAAATATGCTTATGCATTATCTCACAGCCCTATTAAGTAGGTAGATTTTGTCCCATTTTATAAATTAAACAATTTTAAGTGGCTGGGTGCGGTGGCTCACACCTGTAATCCCAGCACTTTGGGAGGCTGAGGTGGGTGGATTGCAACATCAGGAGTTCAAGACCAGCCTGGCCAACATAGTGAAACCCCATCTCTACTAAAAATACAAAAATTAGCCGGTGTGGTGTCACGTGTCTGTAGCCCCAGCTACTTGGGAGGCTGAGGCAGGAGAATTGCTTGAACCCAGAAGGCGGAGGCTGCAGTGAGCCAAGACCACGGCATTGCACTCCAGCCTGGGTAACAGAGTGAGACTCCATCTCAAATAAAATAAAATAAAAATTAAGTGTGGGAGAGAATAAATACCTGGCTCAAGGTTACAGGGATAGTGAGTGGCAGAGCCAGGGCTCAAATCCAGTCAAATCCAGACTGCTCTTAAGCATTCTCATTGTACTGCTTCCCTGACCTCCTCCTATTCCGTCTAGCCTTAAATCCTTTTCACAAACAC